TCGGAGCAGCTGGCAGAGGGAGGGGGGATAGGTGGCTCCCTCTCCCTAACTCCCACAAGATTCCTTGAACACTTCTTACTGCAATTCCGCTACAATTCTCATATAATTTAGGATCATCATTCTGCACTTAAAATTACAAAATAGTTACGGTATCTGTACATAAATTTGTGATGTTCACCTGTAAAGAAGAACAAAATTTTTGTACAATAAATGAAATAATAAAATAAATATACTTAGGAGGCATATTAAGGGTTAACAAGTGAAATTTTACAGAAACCCTTGAAATACCGAGGAACGCACCAAACTCCAGGCGGACCAGATGTAAACAAAGGGTATGCCAAACTATGGACACTAGTGCCGGTGGGTACTAGCAGCCGTCCGGCAAACTAAAATTTTGCCAGACGACGGGAGGTGCCGGACAATAGAGTACCGGATTAGGGAGGTTCAACCCCTAATACACTTACAAACCTAGCAAGTGTTATTTCATAACTTAGCTCGATAAGCATTAATTTTTAAATATAATTTTACGAGTTCCATATATTTTTTACACAACTGTTCTAAAATGAAGGTTCATGGTCTCAATAAAAGGGTCGCTGGAATACTAACTTTTGTGTCACTTAGTATTTATCTACGGTTCCTATTATTTCCTATTTATAAACATGACTTACCTTATACATAATGACTTCTTTGTTCCTGCATTGTTTCACCAAATCCTCATCAACCAGGGAAAGAACATGTGTGAACTGTTGTCTGCTCAGATGAAAATATTCTTTGAATTTTTCTTCATCCATGCTTAGATCTTTTACCAGAGTATTGTAGGCTCCATATTTGGTCCGATTCAGCAGCAATCTATGAACCATCTGTGTTTCCTTGTCTGTTTTTCCTTTGATTTACGCATGATCTTATACAACTCCAGGATGTTTAATGGCAAATCATCCTGTTTATATAAGGCTCGTAGCTTTGATGCTCTTGGAGCCATCTTTCCTGTCCTGTTCCCGCTAACAGAAAGACAGCTGCATGCAATTGGGAACAGGGTGTCCATTTTTCAGGACAATTTAACGCAAATGCACACTGCAAACACATATATGGAATCCTAGCTTAAGTCATTGGAAAAGTGATCTGAGATTTTAAACCTGATAGGAAAAGAATATAGGAGGTCCTGTGATGTGAGCAAGACCCTCATCACTCCAGCCAAGAATTACTGTATTGTAACTCCAAATGAAAAAGGGATTACTGTAGTTGAAACTGTTTCCCAGTATTACAGTCTGGTGTAAGATTCATCTCTCAGAGGGTTAAACCTTAGTCTGATACAAACAGATCGTCAATGGAGAGACATGAGTTACTGTATAGTAGAACAGCTATGTTGTGTGGCACAGGTAACAGGGATAAGAATATCTTCAAGCAAAGGATAAAGATCCATGAATTCTCTTTAATGCACTTAGAAAACAGAACCCTAATGTGTGAAATTATTGTTGTGTTTTGAGATGATAATTTTCCTTGGTGGTTGCCATCAAGGGAGAAATTGGTTGCTACTGAATACAGTACTACAATAGTTTCACACATTTTAGTTGAATTTTCTAACATTTTCACTTTGTACTGGGTTACAAGGGTTACATTCTTGAAAAACCTTGTTAATGCAGAATTTGTAAATATAAAAACATTGGTTTTATGAGGAAAGGGGGAGATTAGGTTCCTGGTGCAGCTGAACATGAAGAAATGGCATATCTTAAGAGCAATGACTATACCAAATACTGTACAGGGGGGTCCCCGGGTTACTGTTATCACAGTTGAGTACATTGGTGTAGATCCTTTTACACGTTCAAGAATTTCGTGTCTTTCAAAATTGTTCCAATCGTTGACCGACTGATGCCCAATGCCTTACCAATCACTGAGGGTGTTTCGCCTTCTTCAGAACTTTTAATTACATCAACTTTCACTTCCATTGTAATTATTTTAATTTTCTTGGATGCACTACTATTTCTTGCATCAAGTTTGCATTTGGGAGCCATGATGAGGGCAGAAATATAGAGTTAATAAGCAAAAAAACAACAGTTTGCACTTGATCACACGTTACTGAGATGAGGATAAGGTGTACCCACGCTCCATTAAGGTGCATGGCTGGGTGACGCATTACTCCCCTCCCGCCACTCTGCCTCACTGCTATGCTATGCAAACTACCGGTAGTTCTAGTACATTAATACTACGAACCAGCTGTACAGTCGCGGAAATGTGAGCCTACACCCCCTGTGGTATTCTGTGTCGCCAAACGGCCAACCTATATGACCTATAGCAAATCTATCCACCAATCATGATCGTCATTACATGACCAATACCTATTCATTCATAGTGATACTGTACGAATATAGCGATGGTGCCATTTGGAGACAAGGGTTACCACAGGGGGTGTAGGAACACATTTTCACAACTGTACCAATGTCGGATTCTTATGGGACCTTGTTTGTATTGGCGGACATTTGTAATTCGGGGACCCCCTGTACCTGTAATTAATGACCAACTATAGAACCTAATGCTTTTTACTTAACTTTGATGACATGATTTGAGGTATCCCGTGCGATAGTGATGAGAGTGCCATATTTATGGTTAAAAAAGTGTGCTTCAAATATTAAAAAAAAAAAAATTATAAAACAATCATCCATTATGATAATACAAATTGTCATTATTTCCATCTTTATAATTGTAGCCTGACACTAGGCTGCACATCACTATCAGGAAAAACAAATGGGAAAGCAGCTTAAGCTCTTTATTTTTCTTACTTTATGGTTTTATACTATATTTTCTTTATTTCTAAGTCACAATAGATTATTGTACAGTAATGATTTTTCCACAACTTTTATAGTTTCATTACAGTATATGTAACAATGGCAACATGCCATCTCTCAGGCCACCTAATTTCCAGTGAGTCAAGCTATTGTTAAACCAAATTTTGACCTAACATTGTAAAAAGGGTGTCCAAATTTTTGTTGTTGTTAAAACTGAATTAATGCTAAACGAGGGATACCTGCAATGAAGTCCGGTGTACTGTACTGTATTTTCTTTTTTCTTGCTGTAATCACCAATAAATTAACTTTCATAAATTTTCTTTAGTACAGTAAACCCTTGAAGATCCAGACCCAGTAAATCCGGATTTCGGAAGATTCGAACAAAAAAATTGGGGGTTCTGGGCTAAGAAGCCTCCCTAAGAAGCATTCCCAAAACAGGGTGAAGGTAGTTTTAGGCTTAAAGTTGTTATCTTATAAAATGTTACAGACTAAACTTAGCAGAATATAACTTGCATTGCTGGAATCCTTGCAAGATAGAAAGTAATTTAATTATAGACTTCACACTGTTTGCAAAAGAGATAAAATTTTTAGTCCTTTCATGTACTACAGTTTACCCTCCAGTTTGGCGACTTTCTGTTTGACGAAATCGAAGTTGGCGGTCAAAATTAAAAATACCCTGCCCTCCATTTTGGCGACCAAACCCTCACCTTTGGCGAGAGTTTAAATTTAAATGCAATCACAACTAATAATTGTAGAATAATAAGTTCATGATATATCTCGCGTAATACTACTGGTGAGTATTTACCAAACGCAAAGCGGCAATCAGCTGTTCAGGCAGCCATTTTGACCGTGTCGGTCCACATTCCCGCGGCTTGTTTGAGTTACCTTGGCCTTAATGTACTTTTTTTTTTTTTTATTCCCTATTGCTTGGCGCGGTGTTTTTGCGCGGATTAATGGCCTCAAATGAACCTGGAGGGATTGGAGGGGATGATAGTAGTGGTGAAAGACCGTCTGAGTGCTCGGACGGTTGAAATGATATGTAGAAACAAAGACGAAAATTTTTCATGAGTATAGAGTTGGGAAGAAAATGAAAAATTACTCATTTGAGGTTAAGAAAAAGATTGTGGATATGACTGAGCGTGGAATGAAAACAAGTGAGATAGTAAAGTTAATGAATTGCCTGGAGTCAACTGTGAGAGGAATAAGGAAAAAGAAAGATGGAGTGAAGAAAAGTATTTTTTATGACTGAAAAATACTTTGGTTGTGGAGGAGGTGGAGCTGCACATACATTGGAAGAAACAACAGACAAAAACCGAGACGATTAGCATCCGTACGGCAGGCACCCAACTCTTCAGAGCTAAGCAGTAACTGTTTCTGAACTCTTACAAGCTTTATTACCCATTAATGTCATACCTGCAAAATTTATCCTTAAATCTACAAATAATTTATACAATTGAAGATTTACATGTAATTTTCTTTTCACATTTGTATGTTAACATCACTGGTGGCATTGTAGCAAAGTTACACTCAATTCACTATAGTGACCAGGCCACCAGACCGAGCTGTGAGGTGTTATGTTATTTCTCAAATTGTAATTTTGGGTAAATATGGGTAACTTTCTTATTTTTTTTTTAACTCCGTTACATGCATACACAATCCTACAAACAGAATGTACAAAAAATAAAAATAAATAATAATAAATAAATAAATAATTATCATAAGCTCAAAAACATAGAGGGAATCAAGATTTCTTTGTGCACCAGACAAAGTTAGCAGGCTGAAGGGGGAGTTATGGTTAGTTTTAACTCATAATTTTGGGTAAATATACGTAAATGTTTTTATTCTATTTTATTATTTTTTTTTTTTTTATTATTCAGTTACATGCACACACAATCCTACATGAAATTATTTTTATTTGCTGCATATGTGGTGTTCAGGAACCCAGCCACAAAACCAATTACTATGCACTTCTTGTTATGTGGGAGGCATATCGGTCACCTGCCCACTGTGATGCTAGGTGTTTTTGGACCAGGGAAGATAATGCTTTTAAAAATGCCAAGAAATTTTTTTTAATAAAAACAAATTAATTTCTTCCTAAACTCACCATTTTGAGGTCTAATTATTTTCTTCTATGCCATAATGAATGGGTTAAATAGCAATGTCCAATCATATAAATAGAGTAATTACTGTACATCAAAGAAAAACTGAAATTAAACATACCTCTCCTGAAATCCAAGATGAATAGTCAGAAACAAGATAGGTAGCCAGATTAGCCACTTCCTCCACTTCTCCCATACGTCCAGCTGGGATGCGCTTGTAAATATTCTTGGTGAAGGTACCAGCTGGGTCCAGGCGGCTGAATGCTCCTTCTGTCTCAACTGGACCAGGAGCAATGCAGTTAAATCGCATACCATATCGTCCCCATTCTGCTGCCAAAGACCTGTAGAAATAATGTATATCAAAACCTATACTGTAGAATGTCTATTTAAAGAGAGCCAATTTAAGGTTTTTTTATTTAAAGCGACACCCACAATTAAGGACATCACTGTATTTTAATTTAAAGCGAATCTTTCCTATTTTGCGCGAGTCAATCTGGCGCATCATATTTTAAATTTCGTGCCTAATGTTTCTCTGGGCACGCTACACTGTCCTAAGGGCAAAGCTGTACTGTACAGTACATGTACTCAAAATAATGTACTAAATGATTACTAAAATTTTTGTCTAGTGCAAACTACTGTATAGCATGATTATATTCAAATTAATCACTATCTTATAAGAATTCCAGCAATGTAAAGTATATTCTCCCCGGTCACTTCTGTGACATTTAATGAACAAAAAACAAAAACTCAATCTAAAGGATATAAATAAACAAATTAATACTTCACTAGACCTTCAGGGCAACTGTCAAACATGTCACCTACCCTTCCTCCCCCCCCCTCCCAGCCAGGGTTTGGTGGCTACTATAGGCTTACAGTTTTTATCTTTTATAATATCACAGACTAAAGTTACGAGAATCTAATTTGCATTGCTAGAGTAATTGCAAGATAGCAAATAATTTGAATATAAACATCATATATTTTGCACAAGAGACAAAAATAGCATGTACAGTTCCTCCCCGACTTACAACGGGGTTACGGACCCAAATCCAGGTCATAAGTTGAAAATGCTTATATAATACATAGAAAATCTAAAATGGGTGTCACTTTTTCTTCTCAGCACCACAAAACTCTCACTTTTAAGCTTGCCAGCCATTTTAAAGTGAATTACAAACGAAAATTTTGTCTGTGTACTGACGTTGGGACTCGAAAATATGAAATTTGACAAAATTTTGGTAAGACTGAGGCAGGTCGTAAGTGCAGGTGGTCGTAAGTCAAGTAGGTCGTAAGTCAGGAGCAGCTGTATACAGTATAGTGTATTCAAACTAATCACTATCTTATAAGAATTCCAGCAATGTTAATTATATTCTCCCATGTCAGTTCAGTGACATTTTATAAGAGAAAAACTTAGTCACTCTTAAGGATAGATAAATAAATAAGCAATAGACCTTGGCATTAACTATCAAACATATCACCTCACCTCACCCCCCAATCTTCCCATCAACTGATCGCTAGTAAACAGACCATTTCACGTCCCATAATTTTAGCTGTGTTGATTTATGAGTGTTTGTTTTAACATAATACTACAAAAAACAATGTTTTGTTTATTCTAGGAGATGGGCTGAGGTGCATCTGGGTAGACTGTCAGTCTTTTTAGTATTTTGTGTTTGTCTCAAGTACAGGTTGTACCTCTCTAGTCCGGCATTCTGTGGTCCAGAAACTTTAGTCCGGAATAGGTTTGTAGAAGGCTTTTTTTTTTTTACTTATCTGAATTATTATTATTATTACAGGAGTATTAAATTTTTGCCCCTCAGGCCCCAATGTGGGTCAGTGACCTATGCCCGGGTGGGCTAATCCCCTTAAAAAAAAAAAAGCCGCGGGAAATTAAGGTTTGTTTACATCCGGCAGTTCGGCTGCTCTCTCTCTCTCTCTGCTTGTCTATACAGAGTACAACATTTAACCCTTCAATATATATGAGCAGTAAATAAGTGTTGCTTTCATATTCTTATGTAGAGTAATGACGATATGTTTTCACATGTGCGCACTTACATACGCGCAGTCTCACTTTTTTTTTACCATTAATGGTTAGCTACTTATATTGTTCCATTTATTAACATTAAATAACATTACAGGTACTTCAAACAACCATATTAATTTTTTTACATTAATTTTACTACAGCTAAAATCAGGGTCTTATTTTCTTCAGTTTTATATGTAGAACCAATCAGTCACTGGTTTTGTAAGCTTTAACATAAACAATGCCGGCAGCCGTCTCGTCTCCTCTAATATTCCACGTATTATTAATAAATTGTATTGTTAATTTTGCACACACAAACATTAATTCAATAAAAACAAATTCAGAAACATTAATTAAAATATACAGTATATGAACAGTAAATAAGTGTTGCTTTCATATTCTTATGTAAAGTAATGACGATATGTTTTCACATGTGCGCATGCGCACTTACATACGCGATCTCTCTTTTTTTCTTTACCATTATCGTTAGCTACTTCTATTGTTCCATTTATTAACATTAAATAACATTACTTAAAACAACCATATTAGTTTTACTACAGCAACAACCAAGGTCTTATTTTCTTCAGTTTTATATGTAGAACCAGTCAGTCACTGGTTTTGTAATCAACGAAAACAATACTGTGTCATTTCCTCGTGTGTTTTAATATTCTACGTATTATTAATGAATTGTATTGCTCATTTTGCACACATAAACATAAATTCAATAAAAAAGACATTCAGTAATAAACAATAATGAATCTCTTGTACATAAGAGAAATGACGCTGTTTACACGATTATGCACATAGTCTGCACGTTGGCGGGCCATTCAAACCCGTCGAAATTCAAGTTTCCGCCGTCAAAATTTTTATTTATTTATTTTTTTGTTCCAATAAAATACGTTAAGAATTAAAAACTCGTGAAATTTGAGAAGCTACTATACGACATTTAACCCTTCAATATGTCTTCAAAGAGACCATGATGCAGAGAAAGTGGTGCTAGTGCTTCCAAGCATAAGCACAAGTCACTATCTATCCAGGAAAAGGGTGAATTTCCATGGTCCAGCACCGGTCAGGTCCCGAGGTTGCCGGACTAGAGAGGTACAACCTGTACCAAACTAGATTATTCCATTGAACCAACACTTCGATTTAGTGCGAATTCAGTTTAAAGCCACCTCTCTTGGAACATATCTTGTGTTATATCGACGTTCTACTGTAAACGGTTTCAATACAGTACTCCATCAAAACAATGAATACTATTTTTGATGTATTGTATAGTAATACCGGTATGTTCTACAGTTGTACAGATGATAAATTACAATGAAAACTCATCATCTTAGGATGGGAGTTGTTGTAAATAAAAATACAGTAATAAATTTAGAATGTAGTAACAAAGGGAATTATTTTATAAAATAGTAAACAAAATGCCTGTCAAGAATGCAAACTGTGAGAGCTGGATTTAAGCTGCAAAAACTATAATTATGTGACATCACTTTGAATCAGATCAGGCCTCTTCTGCATAAATGTGTTTGATACCATATACAGGTATCCGTCGTTTGGCACAGTTTCCCCTCAGCGTGTGCGTGAGCAGGGCTGTGTGCGTGGACCACCTGTGATCTTTTTAAGATTACGGTGGTACACACCGAGAATTAAGGTGCAGGTTTCTCACAGGGTGTTACTGAATATTAGGTGTTCTTCCTAACACTATCACTTGGAGGATTACCTTAACCGATAGGTCAACAAATGCAAATATGTTGCCTGTATAACAAGTTAACTAATGTGGGTTGAGCACTGTGGCGTGTGTAGGTGCCCGCGAGGCAAGGCCTATACCCTTGTGGTCACGCTCGGCCATGTGGTGAGGGTTTGTTTACACAAACCAGAAAAACAGAGATACTATTAAGAACAAGTGTAGTGTAATAAAACTGTTTATAAACTGAGAATACTCCTGTTACCTTAGTCCCCCGACACCACACTCCCTCCGCGGGAGGCCCGTTCACGGCCTCCTCTCACACCGCTAATACGCTGTAGATGCCAGTCTCCTTTGTCCTCTAAGAGGGTTACGCCTCCCAACCACCGCTGACTTCCTAGGAGTGCCAAGCAGTCCTCGGCCCTCTGACGTAGGCATATAGGTCGAGTCCTGTAACTCCACCAAGCCTGAGTTGACTGGAGACCCAGCTACTCGCTTTAACTCTCCTGATGCACTGAGTGAGCTAGGCGACTATGGTGTTGACCTTGACACCAACGGAGAGGATGGCTTTCAACTAGTTCAGTCCAGGAACAAGCGGAAGGCCGTAAAGGCAGAAAAACTTAGAGACCATCAACTACAACCTCAACCCCCCATAAGAGTAAGATTAAACTTCCCTGAAGGTACATCACCTGAAGTCAAGTATCTCTGGCTGAACGATGCGGAAGACAAACACCCAGACGCTGAGTTTCAGTTCAGAGTCGGTACACAAGATCATGTTCTGATTAGAAGCGACCCAGCAGTCATACATGATCTCCTCACCAATAGCATAAGGGGAATAACCATGGAACAATCATCCCAACCATCGAGCAAGAAAACCATCTTAATCATAGGGCTCGACCAGTACCAGACCCCTACACTACTAGAAGCTCATCCCGACATCAGAAGGACGAAGCGACTCGGGGGCAAGAATGCAGTCATTGCAGACTGGGTTGGCTCGGAAGACCCACCCAAGACCATTCGAGTCCGTGGTGCCTATCGGACTCTGAAGGTAACTCTCTATCAGCCCCCTAACCGGAGGTGTTAAAATTGTCAGCACTGGGGCCATGTGGCCCGGTTATGCCCCTCGACTAAGCCGTGGTGTGGTCTCTGCTCAAGGCAACATGCAACACAGGTTTGCAGAGATACAGTTGCTCAAGGGGGTGTCATTCAACAGAAGTGTATTAACTGCAAAACAGTTGGAGTTCCTGTATGGCACCCTGACTGTTCTAGAGCTCCTACACCCCTTCAGCGCCCAGACCCGCCACCCAGGCAGGACTCAAGAAACACTAATGCTGCTAGGGTAATCCCTACGGCCAACCCCTGGCCCGCCCTCCCCACCAAAGCTCCATGATCATCACCAGCAGTCATCGAAAGATCAGTATGGGGCAACACAGATGTACCGACACAACAGGTAGCTGCCAACACACTCCGTGAACACGCACAACGTGAAGAGATCAATGATTTGAAAAATGAAATTAAGGAACTCAAAGCTCAATTTACAGCTCAAACTGAAATGTTAAGGAAGCTGTGTGATACACTACAGGAAAAAAACACCACCAACACAGTGCAGCAGCAACGGAAAAATTACAGTCAAACTAGTGTCC